AAAGGCAAGGAATGATGAAGGAAGATGTACTGAAGCCTCTGCAGAACAGGTGAAAAAGGAATAGCAAAAGCAGCCCTCTGCAGGGAACTGTGTAAAAGATTCCTGGCCCTGGAATTCCAGTCTCTGCATCCTTCGCTTCCCAAGTGGACCCTGCCTTCTGGCTCTCAGACAATGATGCCTTCTTGTTTTAACGACCAGGGTTCGATATGTAGTATATAATATAGATAAGGAGATGAGCTTGGGTGAACATGCCGTTTTTCTTTTCTGTTAGGAAAATACAGTTTTTATTTTCTGGGTTGAGATAGGAAACATTCTTAGTTTCTGTATTAATGTGATGAGACACCCATAAGACATAGTACTGTTTCTCTTGCCAGTAGTTTTGCAAGTCATAACACTTCAGGAATTGCCAAAATCTTGACTTGCTGTAATTATCTACTAGTAGTCAATTCCACCTCCAGATATACTGACCTGTTGTATTTCATGTTCATCCTGGTCCTTTAATTTTTAAAAGCAACTATAGCAGAGATATGATTTCAAGGGCCAGACCTAAGTTAAGTCTGGACATTTTTTCTTGTTTCTGTCCTGGCTTTCTAAGCCTGAGGGACAGTACTTTCATGAAGTTGATCCCTAGCTTCTCTGTTTTAACTATTTTATTTTCTAACTAAAAGGCAATATACATTATATTTATCAATATTTCTTATGGGAACACATACCGCTTTTAGCATAAATGCTCTTCTGGCAAGCAGGCTCCACCATCTGCACCTTTTTTAATTTTGCTTTTTGTAGGGCTAGTTTCAATGTAGGTGGTGAGGTCTGCTCAGCTATTATAGTCATAGTTACTAATGGTAAATAGAGTATGCCTTGCTTTTCATTTCTTCCCAATTGTGGATGTATCCCATTAACTGTTACATATAATAGTTACAGCAACCCCCCCAACCCCCCCACCCACACACACATAGGTATATTTTACTTCCCTAGTTATGTTTTGCTATAGGAGGAGTGGAATGGAAAGTGAAAACTTTTTAGCAGAGTAGGAACTAGGTACTTAATAAGTATCCCCAGGTTCATTTTTACAAGAAAAAAAAAAAAGATGGTGATTGTAGGCAGTTAGTAACTTTGTATTGTATTGTTCTTATTCTATGTAAATGAAACTGAATTTATTTTCTCTTTGAATTAATATATTTTTTTCTTTTTGGAAAGATTTTCTAGAATGATAATGGGAAGGAAAAGTCTTCCATGTTTGGAAAGGAGGAGAGATTTTTAACAGAGTAGATAAGCACAAATTTCAAAGGAGAAATAGCAAAAAATAACTTTAAATCACGTTAAGGATTTTTTTTAGTATTTGATCTGAAGGAAGTGGTCTTTTGATAGTTGAGAAGATACTTAAATTTCTTTGTTTCTAGTTCTTGAATAAGGATTTGGTTAGTAATGGATTAGAACACACTGAGTAAAATAATTATCAGTAGTCCATACTGACTTAAATAAATAGATGAATAAACAAATAAATGGAGGAGAAAAGGTAGGTAGCGCTTTCTTACAGGAGAATTCTAATGAATGAGTGATGGGTATAGAAACTCATTGTTAAGCAAATAGCACAGTAATAATTTTTGTAGGCAAGAATTATCGATAGCTACAAAAAGTAGTAGGCAAAGGTATGATGAGAAGTAGTATATTTGCAGAATTTCACAATATCTCCCTATAAGAGACTTTGTCAGTTACAAAGAGTGGAGCAAGAACGTACAAAATAACTGATTTGGACTTTTCATGTATGTCAAGGTCATGAAGGGCAAACATAGACTGAGGAACTGCCTCAGGTAAGAGAAGGCTGAGGAGACGCAGCAAATGAATGCAAAGTGGTGTCCTCAACTGGATCTTGGAGTGAAAAAAAAACAAAAGGACATTATGAGACAGTTTATGAAATTTGAATAAGGCCTACAGATTAATTATTTTGTATCAGTGAAAATTTTGTTACTTTAATAATTAACTACAGTTATGTAAGGTGTTAACGTTAGGAGAAGTTAGAGGAATGGCATTGAAGAACTCTACAATTTTTGCAACTTTTTGTAAGTCTAAAATTATTTCAAAATAAAAAGTTAAAAAGGAATGTCCTGGTATGATTTTGAAAGATTTGTAATTTCTTTGTTGGCAGGATAAAGATAATTGTATACCATAAGATACCTCTTAAAATCTCTTACTATTCTCTATAATTCTCAGTTTCACAATCAGTTTTAGAGTCGTTGTGATTCTTTTTTTAAAAAAAGGAGTAGCCCTATAACCTGTGGCCTGATTGAGCCTTCCTAAAACATTTATTTCAATTTTATAATTATAAAAGACCTTGAGCAATAGCAACTTAGTTCCAAATGGCAGTGGAACCAGGAATTTAATACTTTGGACCTTTTTCTTATTTCCTTCCTTCCTCCCTCCCTCCCTTTCTTCCTTCCTTCCTTCCTTCTTTCCTTTTCTTTCTTCCTTCCTTCTTTTCTTTTTTCTTTTCTTTCTCCCTTCTTCCTTCCTTCTTCCTTTTTTTTTTTTTTTTAAATCAGATCCAGCTTTCTCTCATCTAAAGCCAAAAAGCGTGACTGAAATGTTTAGGGAAATTAGCTCTAATCTGTGAAACACAACAAATGATAAGATCAAGGAGTAGATCTTTTAAAAAACTTTTGTGTATTTGTTGCCTCCTGAGTAATTTAAGTCTCTGGAGGGCAGCTCCTTATTTGTATCCCCAGGCTTCCAGCCAGTGCTTTAGCCATAGCAGAACGTCAGTGAGTCTGTAGAGAAAACACAAGTCTAAGTGGTGGGGGTAGGGCAGAGAATGGTGTGTTTTGGGGGTTATCTTTACTTCAGAAGTATCAAACAGAGTGAGAAGTGATGGAACTAACTTTCTGTGATCCCACATTTCAATAGAAAAATTGATTTATCTTATTAAGGCTTAATTCCATACAAACCTTTGACCTAAAAAATAATAAATAAGAGATTCAAAGTAGAGTGAAAGACAAAAAAATTTGAGACCTCTGATTCTGTTGGCAATATTGTGCCCTCTGATGAAATTTATCTTTGTAATTTAACATTAAACATGCATCTCTACTGTTGACTTTTTACTGCATTAATTTCTGTCATTTTTCTTATTAGCATTTCATCAGAGTCAAATATTTACCTCCTGTTTGCTTTGTCTTTTATAAACTATATTTGACTTAGCTGTTAAATAAATTGCTGTCATTGAAAAAACTTGGAATTTTTAGAGGTTGATTATGAGGGGTTTGAAGAAGATATTCATCAGTCCAGAAACAATTTTAGACGGTGTCAAGTAGAGTACAGAAATGTCCCATAGAATCAAAAACCTCAAATAGCTTTTTTTGAAGGAGGGTTGTTAAATATAGCTTTATATAGTACCGTTAAAGTCTCTTGGGTCCAGATGGTATCACTCCCCAAATCACATTGGCTCAAAAGTTGATGTAGTATTAGATTACTTGTCCTCCACCTAAAATGAATGAATGACTAAGTCAAGAACTGAACTCTAATTTCTTAATGCCTCTCATGCTTTCACTTGCGGGCACCTTGTCTCCAATTCTGCATTTTATTTGAGACACCTTTGTCTTTTAGGGAAGCTGTCCAGATAGTATTATGACACATGAAACAGAACTGGCTTTCAGTACAATAAAAGTCTAACCATAGTTTAAAAAAATTATGGTAAAATACACATAACAAAAGTAATCATAACTTTTTTATAGTAAGTGCTAAGGAAGTTTTATTTAAGGTGCCAGACGAAAATACAGCATTTTTTCCCCCAGCTGGAGAAAAATGTTAAAATTAAGTTTATGTTTTACCACACTTTACTTGAAATGAAGAAGATGAAACTTGCCTGCTTTGTCACTCTTTATACATTCTAAGTAACTTAGTTTAATTTATTTACAAAATAAACAAATTGATTTTTTTTTTGTAGATGAGGGCAAAGATTAGATTTTGAATACCTTTTAAAATGTATTATATTTGTTTAGTACTATCTTTGCTGTCTCATTTTTTTTTACTTCGGTTTTCTCAGAGCTGACTCCTTTCCGTTAATCGCAAAAACTTCCATCTAGATATATTTTATACCAAAAATACGTAAAGCTTTAGAGTTGGAATTGCTAAGGCTAAGTCTATGTCTTGTATCAACTTGCTGAATATCTGGAAGCCCAACATCAAATCCTTTGATTTTTCTCAGTTATAAATTTTTTAAGCAATGTGAATATACTCACATGTTGACGTCAATGGAATTATTAGTTTTAGAATGCCGGTTTAAGAACAGTTAGCTTTGCCTGCATCTGACTTTGAAATGCAATTTAAAAGTGATTAATCTAAAACATTATTTGGTTAGGTATGGTCATTGTTGTTTACTAGTAAACCTTTGGTTCACGTTGCCATCTGAACTGGAAATAGGAGTTGAGCCACAAGAAAGCTCTTAGGCGTTTCTCTTCTACCAGGGCATGGATGGCAACGCATGATAACCAAGGGCCCCAGGAAGTGTTTTTTTGTCAGAAGAAATGATTTTTATATTGCTCAGAAGGTACTGTTCCATGGGTGACAAATGAAGTTTTCATAATCCCTGAGGCACTTTCTACCTGACCTTAATTTTTAAGTGTTCGAAAGCTCGAACTATAGTCTTCAAAATTTTTCTTAAATGAATCCAGAGATAAAAAGAACATCTTTTATATGTGCACACAAATAATTTGGGAAATCCAAAAATTTTGTTCTCTGGTCTTAATAGCCGCTGACCACAGAATGGAAGTGGGTTCTGTAGCTGGCGACTTGAGGGACTCCTAGCCATGGCAGAGGATTGGGGATGACTTGGGGATTGCTGCTCGTGTTATTGCATGAACAGTGCAGAGGAAAAAAGTTTGCAAAAAATTTGTATAGAGAAGGTACAGTAAGTGGAAAAAAAAAAGAAGAGTGTTCATAAAAGGCTGGTAACCTAGGGCTCTTGGATGACTGAAACCTCATCTTTCTAATGTCTTTTGTTTCAGATTGCCTGTTTGGTACCTGTGGATCAATTTCAGCTTTATCAGCGGTTAAAATTTGAACGAGGTATGTGTGCACCCCTCTTTTTATCTTGTTGGTGAATGTGGCTTTCTACGTGTCATCTTTCTATGTGTCTTCTAACCTGCATGGAAGGTTAAGGCAGCTGTGGGCTGTCAACAGAGCCACAGGGGTAGTCCAAAAGAGGAAAACTGTAATTACAACATAAAATTTCAACTTTCTCAGCCACAGCCAGAAAAAAATGCAGACTATTAGGGAATAGAACTTTCCTCGTGTTGGTTGTTTTGTATTTTTAATTTGGCTCATGTGAGAGAGGTTCTGCAAAAGTTGGGTAGTTTCACAATAACAGTACTATTACAAAAGAAAGTGACCCTCAAAATGAGTTTTACTGCCAGTTTTTCCACTCGTGAAGATCATTTCAAAACATTAATCAGCCTAAACATTTTTACTGCTCCTTATAATATTTACCATTTGTTCCTTTGGTACTATTTGTAGTTATAGTAATGGCTGAGTGTATCTTCCTAATGCGATCCCTGTATCAGACTAATTTTCTGTTTTTGGAGTTGGGGTAATTAATATAGCTTTTCTATTTATACTGCCTTTTTATCTGTAGGAATTTTTTTTTACTCCTTTTGGCTTCTCATAGATCTTTTTTAATTGCCTTTTCTTCCTATCACACCCTAATAAATTCTTTTTTTAAAGAGAATAAAAATAAATTTATTTTAATAAAAATTTTGAAATAGTATGTCATATTTATGAACTAAATGTTTATAGAGAGCAAATTCATGAAACAAAAATAAGAACTTGATTAATACAACGAAGGTTAAGAATACATGTATTAATAACTTCAAAAATATGTTTTCTCTTTTAAAAACATTTTTAAGCATTTTATTTTATTTTATTATTAGTTTCAAGTATACAGTACAATGGTTAGATATTTATATAGTTTATGAAATGATATCCCTGATTACTCTATCACCCATCTGGCTCTACACATAGCCATTACACTCCTGCTGACTGCATTTCCTATGCCATACTCCCCATCCCCATGACCATCTCTCAACTACTAATTTGTACTTCTTTAGCCCTTCACCCCTTTCTCCCAGCCCCCCACTAACATGTTCTTGAACTAAATGGTCTGTTTTTCCATCTCTGAGAACTAGAGAAAAATAGTTTCCCCCAGGACTCTTACGACTGGTATACTCTCATTGAGTATATAAAATAAACTCCAGTCTGGCATGAACATATAGTTTTCTGATTGCTAACTTTTTTATCTGGATTAGTAAAGTATAGATATAAGAGCAGGGCAGGGCAGGGGGAAAAACGAATATTTATCTATCATGTGCCAGTTAGTTTTGTAAACACAATTACTTTTTCTTATTTAATTTTTGCAACTACCCTGACATATAATTTTTACATGAAAAAAGAAAGAAAACCATTCAGAGCATGAAGTGGGTAAGGGTAGGAATACTTGCAGGGGAGTCACAGGATGGCATTCCCTACCTAGAGCCAAGATCTGGCTCAGTGTCATAGGCTGAATTTTTTTTCAGCAAGCCAAAAGCAGATTCATATCTCATGGGTAGATCATATAACTAAATTTATAAGACTGCTATATTAAGGTGGGATTTACTAAAAAAATCCTTGGACTACATTACTCGAATTACAATTTTGCTTTATAGGAAGATGCACATAGGAGGCTAAGAAATAGAATGTTGAACACAGTAACAGAACCGGTGGAGTCAGATGAATTTTAGGTTTAATAGATGAAGACATCTGTCCTGCGTGGATTCTGAGCTAACTAGAGAAATTAATAATAGGTAGTTTACATTGGCCCTCCCTAATTCATCTACTTGGGCTGATTAGATTAAGCATTATAACATCAGATGCTGATTTATTGGATGTGATAGCAAAGGCGATGCTGGTGTCAAACTACTGCCCTGCCGTTCTCCCACTTTTTTTCAATATCAACCATTATAAAAATAAATTACTATTGGAACAGAGACATTTTAAGTACTCACATGTAGATGGATGTGGTTGGTAACAGGTGCCATGATCGGGGGCCTCTTGACTAGAGAAAGCCAAAGAGTTAGGTTGGATTTTCGGGCTTCTTCTTAAATGACGAGACCTGTACACTCACCAGTCCTCCTCAGTACCGAGGGCTCGGCTTGTGTATAGCTTTCTCTTGCCTCATGTGTACCTCTCCTCTCCCATGTCTACCAGTCTCCTGTATATCAGCCCCGCTGTCCCATCTGTCATGCCTTTTCCTCATCGTTTACATTTTAGGGACATACTTATTAGCTAAAATGCCTTTTTGTAATTACACAAATTCCAATAGTACCAGGAATTAAAACTTTCTGTAGGTTGGTTCTCACTGATAAATATAAAGTTTCAGTTTATTTTAAAAAGTAGTGGCTAAGAGCCTAGGTGGGAATGCAGGTCCCACCACTTAGTATCTTTATGACCTTGGGCAAATTACTTGATTTCTGTACCTCAATTTCCTCATCTGTAAAATGGGGATAATGATAGTCCGTATACCATGGGGTTGGGATGAGGATTAAGTAAATTAATACATGTAAAGCACTTCCTACGAGTGCTTTCTTTGTCTTAGTGTTCAAAATATAACGTTTGTTGATAATAAAAATACTAATAACTTCAGAGTAGCACTTTTTACATTAAAATATACTTGGTAGACTTTTCCTGTTCTCTTTTTTCCAAGACTAGATAATCATAACATTCTCCAGGAAATATCCTCATATCAAAATAGATATTATGATTGTCTTTCGTCACTGGCATTAGAACACTTTAAGTTAATTAACCATACCTTTGTTGTTGTTGTCATACATTCTGTGGGTTTGGGCAAATTTATAATGATATGTATACACCATTATAGAAGCATACTGCCCCCAAATTCCTCTGTGCTCTGCCTGTTCGTCCCTCCTTTCCCCTCCAACACCTCAAAAGCACTGATTTTTTAACTTCCTCCATTTTTTTGTCTTTTCCAGAATGTTGAAGAATTGGAATCATACAGTATATAGCCTTCTCAGATTGGTTTATTTTACTTAGTAGTATACATTTTGTGCCACATTTATCTTTACAATGGAAATAGCCTTGCCATAGGCAAGATGCATATGGAAAATCATTGGCCAGGATTCTCACTCTCCCCAAGATAGTGCATGGATAGATGTCACCACGCTTTGCTTTGTGACCAGGACTTTTTGCTGTTCTTGTAGTGTTCAGCCCTACTTGTGATTGGCTTGTTTCTTCATTAGATGTGATAATATATTCGGTCTGGTTACAATCAAGTTGGGCAGGCTTTAGAGCCAGTCTGTCTTTTGTAGGTAGTCTTGCATATCTTTGCTTTGATGTATTATAAGTCGATCACATAGTTTTACTCATACATGGATTTTTTTTTCTCACAAGTTTTAGACACATGCCCACAATAGATTCTGATGAATTGATAATTGATTTTATTTTTTCTATTTTATAGATAAACTAAAAATTGGAGACTAGCTTGGGATCACATAGATTGTGTCTAAGCTTCTTCGTCTATAAAACATTTTATAAATTTATAAATTTTTATTGTGTTAAAATATATATAATATAAAATTTACCATTTTATCCATTTTAGGTATATTAAGAACATTAGCAATGTTGTACAACCATCACCATCATCTATTTCCAAAACTTTTATTACCCCAAGTAGAAACTCTAACCATTAAATAACTTTTCATTCCCCTCTTCTCCAAGTCCCTGGAGACCTCCAATCTACTTTTTGTCGCTATGAATTTGCCTAGTCTAGATATTTAATGTAAGTGGAATCATACAATATTTTCCTGTTGTGTCTGACTTATTTCACTTAGTATGATGTTTTGAAGGTTCGTACATGTTGCAGCATGTACCGGCATTTTATTTTGTTTTATGGCAGAATAACATTCCAATGTATATGTATACCACATTTTGTTTTTCCATTCATCTATTGATAGACACTTGGGTTGTTTCCACATTTTGGATATTGTGAATAATGCTATAATGAACTATGAGGTACATGAATCTGTTTGAGTCCCTTTCAGTTCTTTTGGATATATACTTAGACATAGAATTGCTGGTTCATATGGTAATTCTATGTTTAGTTTTCGAGGAACTGCCAAACTTGTAAAACACTCATTTAATTATAAATGTAATTGGACATTTTTTTAACTATTTGTAAATTATGAAAGTATGTTACATTTGGAAGTATGTTAAATTTGATGACCATTTGGTTCAATGCCCTAGTTTTATAAAAAGAAACTGAGACCCAGAGATATGCTGATCTTAGGTGATTTTGGAAGGCAATTTATAATCATGTAATTCTTCAGTATCATCCATTATAAATATTGTTATTAGAAAAAAGACAATCTAAGTAAGAGTAAGTTTAAGTTAATACAGTGCTACATAATGGAATTTACTTGATTGGGGTAATCTGTATCTAAATTATATACCTCATTTTTACATAGCAGACTTCGTATCTACCACAAACTCAAGACTTATCAGCTAGGCGACTTTGAGGTCTATGCCATGGAAACATTTTTTTGTGACACTGTTTAGAAAGGGATCTTGGTATGCATTAAATACTAATATTGTGAATGGGTTGAATGACTAACTGGTGGGAAGTAAAACTCATTGGCTGGGCTCTGAGACAATAGAATTGTAGAGATTGTTGTTGCTCTGAAAAAAAAGTGGAATCTGATTAGTGGCAGCTGTCTATCTTAGTTAAAAAAATTTTCGTTGGTTTTGTCCAGTTCTTATTGCTTGTCAAGTTCTTTTCTCAGTTTTTAGTTTGTCATCCAGTGTTTTAATTGTCCTCTGCTTTATGTTATGTATATATTAGCTTAACTTTTATTTTTTTGTTTTCATCTAAGTCTTTGTGAAGAAAAAATCTTTTGGATAAGAATGGGCCCAAATCATCCCTGTGTTTATAGAAAGCAGAGAAACACCATTTGGAATTGATTGGTTATTCTATGAATCCACTTTCCATCCATATGTGACTTTTCCATTGGCTACTACGGTGT